ATCGGTTCTCTGAACTACTTAGAAAGTTACCAACCGGTTCTCCCGAATAGGTGCGAACCGGCTGAATCCCACCACTGGTCCTACCTTTGCTTTCCTCTGCCACAGTTGTTCTATTTCTATTTGCCGGTCTTCGCATTTTGTGATCTTCTCATGTCCGTCTCTTCGGCTCTCTCCAGCTACTGCTGTGTCTGCTATCCAGATTCTTTTTTCGTCCTTGTTATCGACTGTTTTTTAGAAGTTTGGTATGTTATGCTGCAGGTGCCCGAATTCTGAAGTCCCAGAACCAGAGGTGGGTTGCTCCTGGTTTGGCCCGGTTCGGCTGAACCAGTAGTGGTATTTTGGCCTGGGTCGCAGAAACGGCAGCGACTCAGGCTGGCCACGCCCCTGAAGCAATTCCCCGGTTTCCGCTGCTGTTGCCGGCATGGTAAAAATCGGGGAACAAAAAAGTATTTTTTTCATGTTCTGCACATGTGTAGAACATGTTCTGCACATGTGTAGAACAATTTACATTCAACTGTGCAAAGCGCACACAAAGTGCACCGGCAGCAACCCACTCCAGGCCAGAACAATTTAGCTTCCTCATTTTCAACGACTTTTTCTACTTGATGGTCCCGCCAGTTCTTGCTTGCAGGCCAATGGTATTTTTTGCAGATCTCCTAATGCACCATTGTTGCTACTTTGTCACCCTGTTGTTAGGCCCAGTACACTTCAATACGAGGAATGCTTGACTTACAACAGTTCGTTTAGTGACGGTTAAAAGTTACAACGGCACTGGAAAAAAGGGACTTAGGACCATTTTTCACAGTTAATGGCCTTTCCAGCATCCCCACGATCACGTGATCAAAATTCAGATGAGTGGCAACTGACTCATATTTATGACGGTTGCAGTGTCCCGGGGTCATGTGATCACATTTTGCGACCTTCTGGACAAGCAACGTCAATGGGCAAGCCGGATTCATTTCACAACCAGGTTACTAACTGACCAACTGCAGTGATTCACTTAACAACTAAGGCGAGGGAGGTTGTAAAATGGGGCAAAATTCACTTAACAAATGTCTCACTGAACAACAGAAATTTGGGGCTCAGTTTTTGGTGGTAAGCCAAGGGCTATGTATCTTCATCAGTCATCTAGAAGAGGGAATAGAAGGGGAACTCATCCAATTTGCAGATGACACTAAATTAAACTATTTGGACTTTTTTGTCTTTCTTATCGACAATTTTTTTAAGCCTGGGGGGTGTTATAGCAGTTAGACTTATATACCGCTTCATAGGGCTTTCAGCCCTCTCTAAGCGGTTTACAGAGTCAGCATATCGCCCCCACAGTCTGGGTCCNTGTTGCATTTGTGCTGATAAATAAGTGAAGGGAGACTAGTATAGATCTATCTCAAGCTATTTAGCTCTCATCAGCTAGCCGTACCCTTGCTGTTTTGCGGCCCAAGGAAAGATCCCTAAAAGATGGAAGGAAGATGGAGATTTAAGCTACGGTTCGATATATTTGTATTTATTAGTTTGTCAAACCCATAAAAGATAGCAGCTATAAGTATAAACACGGACATGAACAAAGGAAATGAATACAAATAAATGGGGACAGTAGGACAGGGGACGGAAGGCACGCTGGTGCCCTTATGCACGCCCCCTTTACGGACCTCTTAGGAATGGGGTGAGGTCCACAGTAGACAATTTAAGGTTGAAGCTGTGGGGGGTGTTGAGGACGTAACAAGGGAGTCGGGTAGAGCATTCCAGGCGTTGACCACTCTGTGGCTGAAGTCGTATTTTCTGCAATCGAGTTTGGAGCGGTTGACCTTGAGTTCGTATCGATTGTTTTGCCCGAGTGTTATTGAGGTTGAAGCCGAAGAAGCTGTTGACAGGTTGGACCTTGTAGCAGATAATTTTGCGTACTGGGCTTCGGTCAGATCTTAATCAGCATAGTTCCATGTTGTCCAAGCCCAAAAATATATTTGGTATATACATTAATACATAACAGTTATCCATTAAGGTGTACATTTCATTTTGGGGGAGGCTAGAAATCATGTTTTTAGGTCATCTCATTGCAAAAATTGTATCCGTGCATTTTTTTTGGGTGTGCTTTGTTCTCTAAAGGCAGGACAAAAATGGTTTGGGATTTAATTCATAAGGTTTGATCTCTAAAAAATGGGTCATTTCAAGAGACAACATACTTCTATTAATTTCTTCACCTGTGGTTAGATCAGGGATCCCCCCGAGGATGCAACTCAAGAATGACTGTGCTGAGAATTAATGGATTATAATTTCGGCATTTTAAAAAAATCATCTTTTTCTTTTTGACAGTACGAAGACCTGATGGAAGCGTTCAAAAGCTTACATAAAGAATCTGAACAGCTCAAAACCTCTGGCTTTTCAACGGCAGAAATAAGAAGGGTAACAAAATGTTGAGATTCCTAAAGGTTTGGAGATTGAGATCTGAAGATGAACGTAACATTTCTAAAAACAGCCCAAGCCTCTTGGGTCTAAATTTACACGGTCCTCCAGCTCAGAAATATTTTATGAGCCTATTCACAACTCCTTGGTTACCTGAAGTCAGGACGGAATGAGAACGGAAGCCCCTGAAAATTCATAAGTCATAAATCCTGATGCCATTTCTTCACCTCTGCAAATTCTGTAAAGCGGGGATGTCCAATCTTGGCAACTTTAAGACCTGGGGACTTCAACTCCCAGAATTCCTCAGCTAGCATGATTGGCTGGAGAACTCTGGGAACTAAAGATCACAGGCCTTAAAGTTGCCAAGGTTGGACGTAAGACGTCATTCCTTCTGCGAACACGTTGAGTTGATTCTAATTGTTGTTCTTGTTAGTTGTGAAGTCGTGTCCAACCCATCGCGACCCCATGGACAATGTTCCTCCAG